GATCAAGCCAGCAGGGGAGGGCAGTTGGGATGGACCAAACCTGAAAGGGAGGGCAGTTGGGAGCAATCAAGCATGCAGGGGATGGTAGTTAGGGGTGACCAGGCAGGCAGAAGAGAGTATTTCGTGGGGGGCCTAATCAGGCTGGCAGGCAGAAGTGGTTAGGGTAATCAGGAAGGTAGGCAGGCCAGCATTTGGGAGCCAACAGTCCTGGATTGTGAGAGGGATGTCCCAGTATGGAGAGGGTCCAGGCTGGGCTGGGCACCCCCTCTCCCTCGTGCACGAATTTCATGTACCGAACCTCTAGTTAGTTAATAAAATTATATGGATTTCAGGCTTACAATTCTACAATACATTATCTGTATATTATAGTGTTTACCATCCCAAGTCTAGTCTCCTTCCATCACCATTTATTCCCCCTTTACCCTCTCCTAACCCTTACATCCTCCCTTCCCTCTGGCAGTCACCATACTGTTGTCTGTGTCCATGTCATCATCACTTTTCTATGAGGCCTTTCAATGTTTTTACTTTTTATTTTTTCTGAAAAATACTGACATGAATATTCTTGTAGTTATATCTTCATTGCAAATTTATGATTATGTCCCAGGATAAATTTTCAATAGTAGAAATCCTGGGTCAAATGTGCATACTTTGAGTCATATGGGTGGTCCCTTGTAGATAATTAACTACTTTTCTCTTGCTGCTTTTTAGAGTCTCTCTTTGTCCTCAATCCTTGACATTTTATTTATTATGTGTCTTGTTGTGGGCCTCTTTTGGGTTCCTCTTATTTGGGAGTCTCTATGCTTCTTGGAATTGTAAGACTATTTTTTTCCGGTAGGGAAAGTTTTCTATCATTATTTCAGAATAAGTTTTCAATATCTTGCTCTCTCTTTTCTTCTCTGGCACTCCATAACATATGAACTATGCATTTCCCCAAACCTATACCAATAATGGGTAACTATTTTTCTTTTTTCTTTTTTTTAATATATTTTATTGATTTTTTTACAGAGAGAAAGAGAGAGGGATAGAGAGTTAGAAACATCGACGAGAGAAAATCATCGATCAGCTGCCTCTTGCACTCCCCCTACTGGGGATGTGCCCGCAACCAAGGTACATGCCCTTAACTGGAATCGAACCTGGGACCCTTCAGTCCACAGACCAACGCTCTATCCACTGAGTCAAAGCAGTTTCGGCTCCATGCTTACTTTTAAACTTTGCTCTTTTTCTTATTTAAATTTGAGGATTTTTGTATGTTAGGAATATTGACTTTGTCCTAATTTGCAAGCATTTATTGCATTTTTTCATATTCAGTTAAACTTTTTTATGAAAAATATATTTTATTGATTTTTTACAGAGAGGAAGAGAGAGGAATAGAGAGTTAGAAACATTGATGAGAGAAAATCATCTATCAGCTGCCTCTTGCACACCCTCTACTGGAGTTGGAGATGTGCCCACAGCCAAAGTACATGCCCTTGACTGGAATCAAACCCGGGACCTCTCAGTCCGCAGGCCGACTCTCTATCCACTGAGCCAAACTGGTTTTGGCTGGCTTTTTTTTATTTTTATTTTTTAACCCCCATAGACTTCAAAAGATATTTTTACTAGAGGCCCAGTGCACGAAATTTGTGCATGGGGAGGGGGTGTCCCTCAGCCTGACCTGCACCTTCTCCAATCCGGGAGCCCTCAGGGGATGTCCTTCTGATGGCTTTGGCCCGCTCCCCATGGTTCTCTGCTCTCTGCAGGGCCTGCCTGCTCCACGCCACAGCAAAGGCCAAGCAGGACATGCAGGGTGCTACCTGCAGACTGCACTTCACTACTCCCAGGTCTCTTAAGGTTGTGCTGGGTGCTGCCTGTGGCCTCACTTGCCTGCTTCCCGGTTGCTACAGGGAAGGCCAAGCAGGCTGCGCTGGGAGCTGCCTCCTCTCTGATGTTAGTCTCCATGGAGGTGATGAGGTTAATTTGCATGCTCACTCATGATTGGCTGGTGGGCTTTGTGAAGTGATGATCAATTTGCATATTTCTCTTTTATTAGTGTAGATAGAGCAAACTCCACCATCTGTTCGGTTTTTTATTTCTAGATTTCCCCACCCTAACATTTCCAAAATTCTTATATATAATTTTTACTTCTATTTATAAAATTAAAATGTCTAATCCTTGTGGAATTTATTTCATTATACAGACTTGAAATAACTCTTATGTATGAAATTTCTGTGTACACTTAAACTACTTATAAATTACGTGGTTCAATAAGATGGTCTTATAATTTTTAATAAAGTGAACGGAATTTTCTTCATTACTCTTCTTTTTAATATTGTTTGTATGTTTGTCCTCCTATGGAACCTTTATAATAATTTTATAAAGTACTCCCACCCCCTTAAAAATAGATCACATTTATATTTTGATTGAGGGTTTTCAGATTTCTTGAAACAATAAATCTTTTATGTATTTTTATTTATCTTATTTTTTAAAATATAGTTTATTGATTTTTTTACAGAGAGGAAAAGAGGGATAGAAAGTTAGAAACATGGATGAGAGAGAATCATCCATCAGCTGCCTCTTGCACACCCCCTACTGGGGATGTGCCCGCAACCAAGGTACGTGCCCCTGACCGGGATCGAACCCAGGACCCTTCAGTCCGCAGGCTGACAATCCACTGAGTCAAACCAGTTTCAGCACTTTGATGTATTTTTAAAATCTCATGTTTACAGTAGTTCTTTCAGTTGAGTCTGTTATTCAGTAAGAGCATTTAAATGTTGCAAATGATACCACTGATAAAGGTTTAATCTCCAACATCTACAAACAGCTTATACAACTAAATAAAAGGAAGATAAATAATCCAATTAAAAAATGGGCAATGGACCTAAATGGAACATTTTCAAAAGAAGACAGAAGGAAGGCCAAAAGGCACATGAAAACATGCTCAAAGTCACTAATTGTCCGAGAGATGAAAATCAAAACAACAATGCGGTACCATCTCACACCTGTCAGAATGGCCAACATCAACAAATCAACAAACAACAAGTGTTGGCGAGGTTGCGGAGAAAAAGGAACCCTCGTGCACTGCTGGTGGGAATGCAGACTGGTGCAACCACTGTGGAGAACAGTGTGGAGTTTCCTCAAAAAACTGAAAATGGAAATCCCATTTGACCCAGTAATCCCACTTCTAGGAATATATCCCAAGAAACTAGAAACACCAATCAGAAAGGATATATGCACCCCTATGTTCATAGCAGCACAATCTACAATAGCCAGAATTTGGAAACAGCCTAAGTGTCCGTCAGCAGATGATTGGATCAAAAAACTTTGGTACATCTACAAAATGGAATACTATGCTGCCATAAAAAAGAAGGAATTCTCATCATTTGCAGCAACCTGGATGGAATTGGAGAACATCATGCTGAGTGAAATAAGCCAATCAATGAAAGAGAAACACCACATGACCTCACTCATTTGTGGATGATAAAGAGCATTATAAACTGATGAACCAAAAGATAGATATAGAGACAGTATATCAACAAGTAGACTGTCAAATTACAGCGGGGAGGGGAGGAAGATCTGGGGGAGATAATAGATCAACCGAAGGACTTTTATACATACATATAAGTACAACCAATGGACACAAAACTCTGGGGAGGGAGGGGATATGTGGGAGGGAGGGAGGGGGACAAAAAAAATCAATAAAATATATTTAAAAAATAAATAAGTGTCTTATGTGGAATTTAGCACAAATGGGTTTTTACTGAAATATTTTATAGTTTCATTGATTCAGAGACCAAAACTTTTCACAACACCCCCCCCAAAAAAAAAACACAACACTCAAAGGTATGTCATTTTCTCAATAATAGGAAAATGTATTGTTACCTGTGCCTATGATAAAACTTGAATAACTGTTTCAGAGTTTGTTCTCATTAAGTTTACACAAGGAAAGTCTATTAAGCTTGAAAATTCAAAATACTTTTCTTTAGTATGTAATACAGACTACTCTAAAAATTATTTAGTTACACTAGATATTACAGCTATAAGTTATGTCCATTTTAATTCCTGGTTATTATATATTTGTTTCAGTAGTGTTTCCTTTTTCCAGACATTTAAACAGAAGAAAAATAAATTTATGTATCCAAAAATAAATAAAATTAATATAACCAAATTAGTGACTCTATTTTAGTGAAACCAAATATATAGTAAAGCTTTAAATCATTTGTAAAACCTTTTCATATTCATGTACACACAGTTTTTTTCAATATAAATGGGCACTACAGTATTTATCTATTCATAGAGAAAATTGAGGTTTTGAGAGTTAATGTCCAACAGTAGGAAGAAAAGAAACTAATATTTTGCTTCCAAATGAACCGAGCACTTTTTATGGTGTTTTCCCAGGTTATATTATTTTAAATAGATAATTTCCTGACAGTAATTTTGATCAAGCTATTGCTACATTATAAACATAACCATATATCTTACCAGTTCTTCTGGGGTTTGTTCCTTTATTTCCTTTATTCAAATGTAAATTGTTCACTATTTTTATATAATAACTAGAGGCCTGGTGCATGAATTCGTGCACGGGTGGGATCCCTCGGCCAGGCCAGTGATCGGGCCATTTGGGGCCATTTGGCCCAGTCCTCAGGTTGTCCATCCACAGGAGGCTGGCTGTGGGAGCACACTAACCACCAGGGGCAGCTCCTGCATTGAGCGTCTGCCACTTGGTGGCCAGTGGGCATTATAGCTGCCATTCGGTTATCTGGTCAAAACAGTCAGTTAGGTTTTTATATCTATCTATCTATCTATCTACCTATCTATAGATAGATAGATAGATAGATATAGATATAGATATAGATATAGATATAGATATAGATATATAGATATATAGATATATAGATATAGATAGATAATGCCCCAACATCCTCAATATCCTGCTTTTTACTGGCTGCTTTGCCCAGTCTCTTAGATATTCATGGTTGATTTTAATAATGATCTTCATCTTTTTTTTTTTTTTTTTTTTTTAGATACCTGAATTTGACAACTTGTACCTGGATATGAATGGAATTATACATCAGTGTTCACATCCTAATGATGATGATGTTCACTTCAGAATTTCAGATGATAAAATCTTTACTGATATTTTTCACTACTTGGAAGTGTTGTTTCGCATTATTAAACCTAGGAAAGTGTTTTTTATGGCTGTTGATGGTGTGGCTCCTCGAGCAAAAATGAACCAGCAGCGTGGACGGCGTTTTAGGTAAAACATTCATGTTTTATTTTAGGATACTATTTGATTAATAAAATATGTTATTTTAATGATAACTGACTTAACACAATGCATCTTCTGTTCATGTTTCTTTTTTCTTAAATTTTACCAGAAATGAAACTATATTTATAATGTACATTTTATCAATTAAGTAAAAAAATTAGTAATTCAAGTGAGGTTCATTTTTCAAAGCCTGTTGAAAGGTTAAAGTCGGTGGTGTGCAGGCAGGCTAAATAGCTATCTCAGGTGGTGAATAAAGAAAAATTGAATTTATTTAAGGAAAAGGGGTTGGAGAATGGGATATCCAAAGGATATCACTAAGCCAAAGGGTATTGGGTCCATGATGACAGCAAAAATATGCTTAGGACAGTGAAACAGAACGGCATAGAAGAAGAAGCAATAGGAAGATTTAGCCTGTGCTGCTTTGGCTCACTAAGAAGTCAGAGAAAAAGGGGCTTTGGAGACAGGTTCAGGGGGTTAGGCTGGGACGAGCTGCTGCTGTCCATTGCTCCCCTGGTTTCAGGTCTCATGGGATCCCTTTAGGGTTGGGGGATACGTGCCTGTGGGCAAATGGACAACGGTGTGCTCCTTGGAGGAAGAGTGTGCACCTGGGTTCTTTGTCCTGAGCGTATATCTATCTATTTTGCAGATGGCAACTTATGGGAGGGTCTTAATAGAATATTCATTAGCTTTCCAGATGTGATTTTCAGGGTTGTGATCTCCCTGAATGGTTAGTGCCAGGGCAAGGGGTCCTGAGGCACCCAAAGCATCACTTGTCTGGTTTTGCTCCTTTTCTGGGCATGGAACAGAGATATAACTGAGACCTAAATGTTATCTTTAGGGAGAAAATGGTCAGGGGTCTAAACTGCCTGACCAATGCTATGCTAGGCAAGGTTCTTGTTTACCCAGTTTTGCCCCTTGCTAGGCATTTGGGGCTTTCTGCCCTGGTGACTTTGTGTACCTGACCCATCATCCTTGCTCTGCTCATGTCTTACACCTGTGTTGTGCTCTATAAAGTTATTCTGTTGTTCCCTCACAAATTTTTTAAACATCTTATTGATAATTTGAAAATGGTAGTAGCCAAGAAAGCTTTTATAGTAGTATGTCTTGAGCTAGGAAACTGCAGAATGATCTGAGAGGCTGTCCTAATTAGAATATCATTGCTATTTTAATTTAATTCAACAAACATTTGTTGAATGCCCAAATTCTGGGTTAGCTGCTGACTCTGAGCATGAGTCCTGGACAAGTGAGTCTAGAAGGTGATTGACGGAGTTTGAGAAGAGAGATGAGTTAGGACATTTGATGTACAGGTTGGAACAAAAGTAAGTTTACAGTTTTTTCTATGGAAAATAATACATTAATAAATAATAATACAGCAACCTATAATAATAAAAGTGTAATATGCTAAATAGACCAGACAGCTGAATGACCTTCTGGACGAAGCCGGGGCTGAGAGGGTCAAGGCAAATCGCAAGGGCTACAAGGGCAGAGCCGCCCCTTGCACGAATTTCCATGCATCAGGCCTCTAGTAAACTGTTTTGCATACTCACAATTGTAAACCTACTTTTGCCCCACCCTGTATTATCAGCCCTGTGAGTTGGATTGTAGAAGTAAAAGGATGAAAAGAGATTATACACACACAGAGGGTTTTTAAAAGTCAAAATCCTGGACCTGTGAAATATTTCTGAATAACAGTGAGAGCATGCTGTGTCTTTGTTTGTGAGTAGCAGTGTTATTGAAATTAAAGGAAAGAAACCCTGAGTTTAGCATATTTAATGGATCATTAGCATAATGAATCCTTTACCACTGTGGTAAGTAAAGTAGTCCAAAGGGCACCTGCAGAATCAAATGTGGAAATCACCAAGGAACTTGAGAGTATGGTGGAAGCTATCAGTGAGAATGGAAGGTGGATGGTCAAAAATACTGAATTAAATATCAAAAGAGAAAAAAATACTGAATATAATGAAACCTCTGAAATCTTTGAACACAAGGACTGTCTCTCTTACTAAAATGTAGATTTCCAAATACTACCCAAGACTTTTTTAACCTGAATCTCTAACAATTGGGCCCTGGAAACCATTTTTACCTGATTCCCTGGTAAATGTTAAACTAGTTTTGGGGAACTACTGGCTGAAAAATGTAGTGTTGAGAAATAGTTACATAAGCCCACAGTATCAGTCAGTATTCAGTTGAAGATAATTAAATTCTAGCTATTTTAAGCAGAAAGGTCTATAATAGAGAGAATTAGGTGCCTCTGAAAGTTGTTCTAAGCCTAAAGGGTGAGAATATAAGTGAACCTTCAAGAATGACTTCCAGAACACACCATACAATTGATCCACCAGTAGGTGGCACTGCTGCTACTACTGAGGAAGGTGAGTTCCGAGGCCCCCACCAGAAAAGGTGGTTCCAGGAACTTACACCGTTATTGTATTTCAGATATTAACAAACTACCATCTGAGCTGTTGGCTCCAAGAATACATTGCTTTAGTTAAAATTCAGCAATCAAGACGCTAACACTGAATATGTTAGCTCTAAGAGCCCCAATGTACCTGCTTCATCTGTAGCAAGAAGCAGATGCCCTGAACCTTGCTTTTCAGCACTTACTAAGCTGCTGAATATTGAGATCTACTGATGAAACACACACATATACACAACTCCAGTATCTCAGCTGGCATGCAGACCATCACACTTCTACCTTCTAAACTGTTTTGGAGGCATCTGACTGATAAAATCTAAGTAATGTCCAGAAACCTCACTGCAGGAAAGCACAGGAGTTTAACTTTTTTAGCTTTCTAGCCTCTCCAGTATGAGAACGCCAAGTAGGAATAGAATAGATGAGGACCAATTCACCATCAACACCAAACACATTTATTATAAATGCTATGCTGGCATCGAGTGCTCCAAGTGCCCCAAATCCCCCATCTCATTCTCCACAGCGACTACTTTCTCTATTCATAATCTTTAATCATTATCTTTCCATATCTCTTACTTTAAAATCTGCTGTCTCTGGCCTTCATCCCCACCATTCCACTGAAACTAACAAGATTACTAATAGAATCCTTACAGGAAAATCTAAAGAATAATTCTGTACATCACTTAATTTTTCTACAGTATTTTAACAGAGTTGACCTTTCTTTTTTGGACTTCCTTTCTGTTACGTAGCACACTGACTGCACATTCTTAGTCTCCTTGTTATCCTCTCTTCCTCTGCTTATTCTTAAATATTGATGTTTCTTAAGGCTCTATCCTGGGTTTTGAATGATCATATCCAATGACTTTAATTACTGTATCTGTATTGAGGACTCTCAAATGTATCTTTCTGGTAGATATCTCTCCAGAGCTCTCTATCCATATTCCTACTAAATGTTTCCTTTTGGATACCACAGTTATATTTCAGGTTTAACATGTTCAGAACTGAATGAACTCTTCTTTGCCTTAAAACTGCCTTCATTACATCTTGCTTATTTTTTTAAAAAAGTTTTTATTGATTTCAGAGAGAAATAGAAACATCAATGATGAAAGAGAATCATCTCATCAGTCTGTTTCCTCCTGCACACCTCCTAATGGGGCCCAAGCCCACAACCCTGACGGGTGGCCTGACTAGGAATTAGACTGTGACCTGCTGGTTCATAGGTCAATGCTCAACCACTGGGCAACACAGGCTGGCTATCTTGCCTATTTCAGTGAATAACACCACCATTCAAATAACTGCTCAAACCAAAAATCCAAGAGCAACTCGTTTTCTGATCTCTTAAAAATTCTTCATATCCACTTACATATTTTCATCTTACTGCTACTATCTGAGCTTAGGCCACCATAATCTATGACCTAGATTACTTTAATAATCTTACCCTGTGCCTTGCCTAACATTCTATTATAAACACATTAAACATTATGGCTATTTAATTTTTTGTTTTCATACTAGATTTTCTTTTATTTTATGCCAGAATTTGGCACATAGTAACAAATAACCACTTGTTCAACCTAAGAGCGAAGGGAAGAAAAAAAGGACAGAACGGCTTTCATTGGAGAGATTACAAATGAGTTGATAAATTAAAAGCTTTTGTTATATAGAAGGGGTTGGTGAGAGAGAGGTTTACTATGAAGAAAAGTTTATCACAGAAATAGAATTCCACAGAGCATAGTAACAAGGTTATAGAAAATATACATAAAGCAGAGTTTCCTATCTTACTTGCCATGAGAAACTGGATAGTAGCTGGGATGCTTCTATTCAAACCTAGGTTCCTTTGACTCTAAAACTCATGTTCTTCCTAGGAAATCTGATTGCTCTAAATGTGAGATGATTTTAACAACCGTTGCCATTCATTTTATTAAGCTTTTATTTTAAACTACAGTCCTGGTGCACAAAATTCATGTATGGGGGTGGGAAGGGAAGTATCCCCTTAACCCAGTCTGCACCCTGTCCAATCATGAACCCGATCCTGGGCCCAAATTGGCAGTCAGACATCCCCCTCACAATCCTGGACTGCTGGTTCCTAACCACTCACCTGCCTGATTGCCCCCAAGTGCCCCCCCCACACACACCTACCAGCCTGATCATCCCTAAAAGCCTCTGCCAGCCTGCTTGATCACCCCTAATTGTCCCCCCCACCGGCCTGATTACCCCTAACTGCCTCTGCCTGCTGGCCTGATCAACCCTCACTGCCCACCCTGCTGGCCTGGTCACCCCTAACTGTCCCCCCTGCCAACCTGGTTACCCTTTGCAGCCTGCTATTCATACATTTGTTCATCCCTCACCCCCCTGCTGGCGTGGTCGCCCCACCGAACCGGTCATCCATGTGGTTGTTTCAGTCATGATGGCCCCTGACTTTATATATATATATATATATATATATATATATGAATGATGATTTTATGAGGAAACCTATATATACATTACAATTTTATAATTATTTTTATATAAATTCTTAGAGATCATGTTAATGTGCTTCTTTTTTGATATTATTAAATGTATATACAATGTGAGGGAA